CATCAAAAAACCAAAAACCGCTCACACAATATATTACGCCACTGAAGTGATTTCGAATTGCAGTTTGCGGTAGCTATCAATGCCCAGATTAACGATATGGGCCACTATCTTTTCCTTCTGCCCAAAAAAGATTATTGTTTGCGCGCAGTTGCACAAAAACGATTTTTGAACAGATAGAGCCTGATGAGAAATTGCTTTGCCCTTAAAACCTTTGAGTGCAAAATGTATTTTGTAACGCCGTCTGAAACTCAGATCCACAATAGCGTATAAAGATCCACAATGGTATTTTGAAAACATTGTAATGTGTTCTTGGAACATTGTTGGAACATGTTATTATTGTTGCTGGAACATTTCAATGTAATAATGTGAGGCCTTCTATTATTTCTATCATTCTTCTTCTTCTATTCTATTATTAGAATCTTTGAGGAACCAAAAAGCTTGTGAAGAGCCCTTGTTGCATGTTGATTTCATCAACAACTTTGTGCAAATCCAAAAAGGGTAATTGAGCAAGTGACAAAATCTTCCAAAAATTGTCGAACTTTTTTTTGAAAAAAATAATCTTGGTGGGAAAATGCGCATAGGTATTTATTCTATTGCAGTCTTACAAAAGTAAAAAGCGGTCAGGATTAGTTTTACGTTGAAGCAAAAGAATAGCTGATAAGAAGTGCCTTTGTACATTGTGATACCTTGTACGGTAACCGCCGCTTATGTTGTAAAAGTTTTGCAACGCCGATGTTGCAAACTGATCCATTCTTTCAACGTGAGTGATCTGCTACTTTTACCAATTGCAAGTGCCAAGCTCTTTTAAAATTTGTCTCTCCATCTTATCTTCTTCGGTCGTCCTACTGGACGCTTATGTGTTACTCGCCATTCAGGTATCTAGCTTTCTTGACCCATAAGGCTCATTTATGTTCGCGAGTTTCCAAGCGTTGATCTTTCTTCTCTGTGCCACGCACTAAATCTTACACTCTTGCGAAACCACGGAACCGGGAGTTTGCCTTTCTGTGTACCAGGCCACTGCAACCATTCCCCGTTCCATACGTTTTCCAGCAACACCAAGCTGTTTTGCAATCTCTTTGACAATGTTCATGATTCGGCATCGCATAGTATTGCGGGAATTATACATGAGTCAAACAGTCTCCGCTTCCATTTCATTAGCAGTCCCATAGTGAAAAAAATTTCATCCAGTTTGTATACGCCGCGATACTTTCTACTACAAGTATGGAAGGGGGAAATAGTCTGTCCAAGATAAACATATGATTACACCTGTTGATCGTAGTGCAGTGCCTTTAATTTTGGATAGTAATCGCGAATGCGCAAGTACTGATTTTCAGCTATATCATAGCTCGTAATAGATGCTCCAAAACTGCCATTAGGACGATGCCGTCAGCAAAACGTAGATTCGTGGGCGGGTTACTCTTCATGTAAAATCCACAGACGTTCCGACTGCTTTTTTGAAAAACATTTTCAAGTGCAGCGGTAAATAGCTGGCAAAAAAACGACTTTTAGAGATTTTTCACAATCCGCCACAATTGAAAAAGTAAGCTACGCGACGTTGGTATCAGAGCCAAATGCCCCGTGTTACAAGTTTGGGGTAGCGAAATAGCGCTGAGACACAGACGAGAGAAAGACCAAATCCACTTTTGGCTCCGGCTACAAATCCTCGCGTGGTGTTAGCGGAACCCTGCAACATCAAGACTGGGTTCACACTAAGTTCTGAAACAGTTTGCAGCACAGCGCTCGAATTTTCTGTGTTGGAACTGTTCCGGAATTAACGGATAATATGAAACCAGCCTAAATATTGATCTGATCGTCATGACACGATTAAAGCACTGACAGTCCCAGGCGTTAGAAATCACTATCAACGAGATGAACATTTTCCTGCGCTCTCTTTTTAAGATTCAAGCGCAGTTTTTCGTATTTGTTGAACCAACAGCTTCGTGAACTTCTAAAACTCAATCATAGCTCAAAAAACGTCAACTAGGAGAAGCTGTTCTCAGTCTTACGTAAATTTGGGCAAAAACTTGCGCTTAGCATGAAAAAGGCTAAAAAAGCCATTTTTGGGTTTTATGGGATATTCTAAAAATGTTGATTTCTATGCTTGCTTCATTTACATTCATTCCGATCATAATCATAAAATCCGGGACTTCGCCTCGGATAATACTGTTCTTTTAGTGGAAGTCACTTCTGTCATGGCGCTCAAACTGAAGGTTACAAGAGGGATGGCTTCTCCTGGAAGGATGTGTTCAAAATCGACAGGCAAATCGACAAGTCGTCCAGCGTGCGCCGAGATGTGCTCCGCATGCCACCCTAAGTTCAATCTTCTTGGCGTAAGAGAGGCCTCATTCAAATTGAGTATTGGCACCATAAGGGTCCTCTAACGGGATCCGGTGCATCCCAAACGGTGGAACACTGCATTCAAAAAGCATTAACTTATCAATCGCCAAAAAGGACTCATTCACTTAAGCGAAAGAAAGATTAAGGGTCGCATGCATAACACGCGCCTGGGAGAGGACGAAGCTCAAATGAAAGCTTCATCTCCTGTAACTCCAGATATGTGGGTTTCACGCTATTGACCTGCCCGCAAGCAACTCTCCTTCACTAAGCATGTTGACCAGGAGCGAGAAGTGTACGCCGCATTTTTCAGCTTTTCGTATGATACCCTGATGATCTCCAAAGGCCACTGTCTTTTGTTCAGGGTATCATACGAAAAGCTGAAAAATGCGGCGTAGTCAAAGTCATTTTTTTCCCCAAAGTTACTAAAATTGTGACAAAGTTGTACTGACCATCTAACCGAACATTGCTAGCATGTTTTTTGGTACGAACGTCAGTCATGAAATTTGCGATGGACCACAGGTTGAAAACTGGGGTTCGTCGAAAACCTCGAATTTCTGTAACTTATTTGTTCTTATCAAAAACATGCTTGGCACTGTTCGGTTAGACGATCAGCACAATTCTGGAATGTCTTCGTTTACTTCTAAGAAAGAATGACTTAAAAAAAAGACGCTCGGACACTGGTGACAATAGCTCACACAAAAAACTGGAAAATGCGGCTTGTAAAACTTCTCGCTCTTGTTTAGTATGTTTATAAGGAAGTGTAGTAGGAATACTTACGGAAATTAGATAGCGTGGAATTTAGATACCCTAAGCTTTACGATATGAAGCTTTTTAAGCTGCGACCTCCCCGACGGGGATGTCAAAGCATGCGGCTCTAAAAAGTATCCTAATACGTTAAATAATCCAGTTCACTTCATCAACGGAAATGGCATTTTTGGAAGTTGGGCGGACACTAACAGAATGAGCTGAGAATCCAATGTTGGAGGAAACACGAAAGATTTCGGTGCGGAGCAAACTTCTTTGCACATACGGAATTCCCGCCAACCGACGGAGTTAGCAAGAAAAAACACTGCAAATGGTGTTTATTATAACTGCAAGGGAAAATATTAACACTTAGTTCAGTACATTCTTTTACATAATCTCAATTTTCCAATATGTTATCAGCATAAACGCCTAAAACTGTAGTCGCTTGTGGAATACGATCAGATATAAAGTCCTAGAGGCTTCAGCGCCGTGAGTTCAACAGCATCTCTGAAAACGATCTGAAAGGCTTTGACTCCATTGACGGTAGGAGTGTTTTTGACCTGCATGAGACGGTTACAACTCTATAATAAGACCATTAGCTTGGAAGCGCTCAGGAAAAGTCATTTATGTATGTTTCTTAGATGAAGAATTCTCAGTGGATAGGCTACTCATACCTACAAGTTCCACGTCCTGAAGTCACGCCAAGTGCGATAATAAAAATCAATGGAGAAACGATATAGATTGGGCAGAAGCAAAAGTTTAGATTGTCAGCCATGAAATAATTAACGAACTTCAGAAGGTAGAATTGATGCTCACAACTCGACTTGTCATGCAAAAACTGATTGTAAACAGCAAAGAAAGAATTTGGCTGAAACAGCAGAGAGTGTAAATTTCCGGTAATCACGAAAAAAGTTGAGCTAAGCCAACTGGACTTTGATCGTTTTCGTTCTAGAGCATTTTTCCATTCTTTCACTATATTTTGCATCTAGAAACTCTCATGTGCCAAAGAGAGAACTCGCTTGTGCAGTCAGTTCAGTTTACGTTGAGCTTGACGCAATATGCATGATTTTGTAAAATCACTTTGTTAAATTGAACAGATATTGCATGCAAGTAAGGCTTACAGTTTTGTGCAGTGAAGGCGTGCCGAACAACGATTCGAGTGCGTGAACTCAGTGTAGATGGACAAAAGACATGTGACAAAAGGCATGCACTACTACACGTAAACAGTACGAATGACGTGCCACGTTTTCTACGGCGGCTTGTTGCCCATACTTTAACGATTAGCCCCGAAAAGCTGTTTATCACGATCTTAAAAGGGTGTTTTGGGCCGAGACCGTGCAGCCAAGTTGTAACAAATTCTGATCAATGTTATCTTTAGTCAAGAAGTGCTGTCAATTGAGGAGCTTCGATCACGAAGTGAACGCTTTTATTAGCTGCGGGGCATTTAGTCTGATCTATTTTTGTTTCTCATTGGATTTTGAGTAGCGAATACGTGACAGAGTTCCATAGTAGATACGTGACAGAGAGTTCCACTTTTCACCTGTTGATTGCAGCATACACTTTTGCTAATACGGAGATGTCGAACTAATACTGCTTCTATCGAAAGAACGCTCTACGAATATGCGAGCGAGTTCCTATCATCACGTGCTACTTGTGAGCAGCGATTTGCGCTATAATAGAAAAGGAGAAAAATAAAGTGCCCGCGTACCTTACGCACGCACGTGAAACGCGGTTTGAGTTGTATAAAAGTTGGTTTATTACTCGGACTAACATTCATTGCTCCAAAAGCCACAGCGATTTTAACGTCTATCAACTTAAATCAACGAAAACCTTCTTTATCATTGTTCGGATCTAATAATGTATATCTATATGCATTGTTTTTTTCAGAGTTTGACCCCGTTGTTTTCGACTGCTGCAGAATGAAGGTCGTGATCTTGTTGCTTCTTTTGGCTACTACAGGTATGTTAGATTTCGCGTGGTTTGATAGATGTGACCTATTTCATTTTTATGCAACCAACACACAATAAGAATTCACAGTACAATTTCCTTATTTAGAGTTTTTAATGGCTGCAAAAAGAAGAAGCAGAAAAATAAATAATTACAAGCTACCAAAACTAACCAAACCCTCAGAATGGTGCAAGAAACCGAAAGCAGTAGGGCGATGCAAGGCCGCATTTCCAGGGTAAATTCTCCTGATTACCATATTTTGAGACAGCGTCTTTATGGAAAGGAAGGCTAGAATAATCAAAAGTATTCAACATTGTGTCGATACCTGTCTTCCAACCATCATATATTCTCATATTTTAGCCACTACTACGATCCGCAAACTAGATCATGCAGACCGTTTGTATATGGAGGATGCGGCGGAAATGAGAATAATTTCGTCAATCAGGAAGATTGCGAAATGGCATGTCTTCCAGGTAGGGATATCGGCAGCACTAATTTAAGAAATTGTAAAAGTTGCAATGCTAACTTAAGAATATTAATATTTGTTGCGAGTTGAACTAATGACACTGATGCCATTTGATGCACCTTCAAACAAAACATCCAGTACTCTTTCTACAAAGTTATTTACAGCCGTGAAGGAGCGCTGCAACTGCAGAGGCTTTTTGAAACCTCTGAACAGTTCCGGAAAGCTTATTACGGAAGGAAAATATCGGACTCAGCATGACAGATATGTGAGCAGAATGAGGCTATGCATGGAAGTTTGCGTTTACGTCAAGCTTACAAACTGGGAAATTCGCAAGCAAGAATGATCATAGCAAAGATTTATAACGATCATTTTTTTCATTTGAATTTTGTTCATCTTGCCTTTTCTTCATCATGACTTGGTGGGCTTAGAAATCACAATTCACAATTTATCTGTCTGCCAAATTAGTCTTGTGTGATTGGATACTGAGCAATCAGCGCATTGATGGAGTTGAATGTTCCTTATCCTGTTATCTAAAACTTCATTCACGGCAATGAGCACTTTTGCTTAAGGTTCGATATATTGGGTGGAACATAAGTCTTGCATGAAATTCCGCAACTGTCCGCAACTAATTGGCCGCAGAAAGCATATTTCTCATACGCGAACTCGCCCGCCTCATATGACATCACCGCTGCGTAGTCATATCTCGTTTCAGAGTGGTCAAATTCTTAATCCAAGGAAACCATTCGACTCAGCTCGGCGCGGCGCATTTATATATATAGAAGTGCCTGTTTGGACACAGCAGGAGGCCAGATTTCACGAATCGTTTCAGATTTTAGCTCACGATAAATTACTCAGTGTGCTTCATTGCACTCACTTAGTAACTACTGTAAGCAAAAATCTGGAGCGACTCGTGGGATGTGGCCTTCTATTGTTCCAGCAGGCACTTCTATATATCAGAAAATGCGCCGCGCCGAACTGAGTCGAATGGTACCCTTGGATTAAGAACTCTCCACTCCGAGGCGATGGCTACGCTACGGTGATGTCACATGAGCTGAGGCGACTGTGCGTCGTTTCAAAAAAATACGAGCGCTATTGTATGTTTGGTATGGAATCTATCTGCATGAGCAAGGACTTTCGTGGGATCTCTCAAACAAAATTGAGTTTTTTTCGTTTTTTTCAATGCAAGCACTGAAATCTTTTTGATTCCTGGCTCCTGACTTCGGGTAGGACAAAGCTGCAAACCTGCAAACTTCTGAATACTCTCTTGTAGAGCTAGTTGTGTCTGCCGATGATGTAGCTTTTCTGAAACACAGTAGAGATATGAATTATTTTAGACTGTACTTTTTTAGTGGCAGAACATTCTATTCCAACATGATATTTTAAGCTGTCCAGTTTTGTTCACATATTTTTTTAAAGTTTCTTGTTAGAGCTTTTTTGTAGTGTCTTCTTCTAGTGAATGAATCTATCATAAATGGTATCCTGCTTGTGTGGATTACAGTGGATTAAAAACAGATGTTGCTTGATATTCCAGGTCAAAAAAGGAAAACGGTAACTGCGCCGTTACAAACCACAACCAACAAATTATACCAGTGCGGCAACTCTGCTTCGCAGAGGTTCGCACTCGTTCTGCTAACTATAGGCTTTACTTTCCCGCATAAAAATCGCTTGGAACTCAGAGCACATCGCTGACTATCAGGCATAAATTTTAAACAACTGCTCATTCTGAAAGCTTCTCCGTGTAGGATCGTTTGCGTGGAAGAAATTCTTTGCAAAAAAAAAACATGCAAAATTGAAACACTTTTTTACATGTGTCCCCGTAGTTGCCTTGGGGACAATGACGATCGTGAGCTACATCTCTGTGCAAGAATCTTCTCAGATTACTTATTAATCTTTGACAATTTAACCATTCACGCAATCAATAATTTTCGGCTCCATTTTATGCGGAAATATGATTTCTGAGTATTTTTTTCGCTGAAGTTTATGGCTTCGAATGACACATACCAACTAAGTCGATAATTCCGCAAAAGCCCTACATAGAGACGCTGTTTTGAGGGTCCATATGTCGTGTGGAGTCGTTTGACCATAGTTGCGTAGGGGGAGTGATGAATCTTACCCCCTTCACTTTGAGGCCAAACTTCCGATGACCCCCTTCACCTGGGCTGAGATTGGTATTGTACTCTGAGAATATGATAAAAATCGTTATTAAAAGGTTTTGCAGGCTAAGTACCTCAAACAACAAGTACACTCATAAATTTACTAAAGAAACGGTATTTATGTTTATGTATATTATTTATTTATCCTCGTAGCATTTTGGAGAGCAGAAAGTGAGGACACAAAATCAGTTGATTTTTGAAGCACATAAAATCCCTCATATCTCGCGGCACAGAAGACCTAGAAAAAAGTCGACGGTCGACTTCGATTTCCCATGATCTCAGCTTTCGAATGGTATACAGCATGTTAGGGCTTCTTTGCTTCCCGGCTCTGAAATTCATTTGCTTCGGTGACCCATAAAAGCCAACACATTGTATAGGTCGTCCCGAAAGTTTTTGCGCACGATTTTCAAAAATTCATAACTTCTGATTTTTCCAACCGATTTGACTGCTTCACTTTTATGTGAAAGGGTAACTCATGCTCTTTATAATTACATCCAGCTGCTTAGTAATGGTCATCTGTTGCATAGATAGAAGCTCAAAACAAAATCACTCAAAATTTTAATTTTTGTGTAGGGTCATAAAAAATCAGAAACTTGCAGCAAAAATCGGAGCAGTCGGTATTGTAGGTACTTTCACCAGCTCTTTCTAACAGGTGCAAAGTTTGCTCCGATTGAGCGTCTCCATGAAAAGTTATGATTTCCGAGCAAGCAATACAAAAAGGCGAATTTGTTTTATTTTGGCATTTTTCAGGGAAATCATAACTTTTCATGGAGACGCTCAATCGGCGCAAACTTTGCACTGTTAGAAAGAGCTGGTGAAAGAACCTACAGTACTGACTGCTCCGATTTTTGTTGCAAGTCTCCGATTTTTTATGACCCTACACAGAAAATTAAAATTTTTACCATTTTTCTTCTATCGCTCCTATCTATGCAACAGATGACCATTACTAAGCAGCTGAGATGTCATTATAAAGAGCATGACTTACCCTTTCACATAAAAGTGAAAGCATTCAAATCGGTTGGAAAAATCAGAAGTTATGAATTTTGAAATTCATGCGCAAAAACTTTCTGGACGACCTAATAAGAGCGAGGTGGAGCAAGTTGATAGTAAAAAATGTGCTGTGGATTGACGTCGTTATCAGCACTAAACGAGAACGTGAGCGAACGCGTCTATTTGAGCGTGCTTATGGTTGTTATATGTTTATGTTTTTTTGGTAAAAAATGCGCTTTTGATTGATAGTTACGCCATCATTATTAACACACACAAAAAACTATGGGAGATTGGTGAATTTCCACACCTTCACACAAAAACCCGCCCATTTCTGGAACTTATACTTTGTAAACCTAGTGCTGAAGAAAATGACTTTCGTGAAAACGCTTTAGACTCACCTTACCTAATTTGTAGAGAATGGTTGGTTTCAATGAATCAAAAACTTTAAGACATTCAGAAGAATACCATGTTATTAAAACATCTCTCAATGTTTTGGAAAGGTTGGCAGTTTAAAGAGGTAACGGCAGGCAGAATAATTTACAAAATCGCAGACGACTCGCATGTGTTCCAGCTCAACAGCGAGGCAGAAGGAGAATCTTACGCCGACGAAAATGTTGTCGACATTGATACAGAGTTGGCAATTGAGCGAAACTCTCTATTTCGTATATCAGAAATCCAAGCAGATTGTCTAGTTTCAATGAGGAGATGTCCAGGAAGTCCATTGCTGATCTTCAGGTTGCTGAAGAAATCAAGGCTACTAAATTCACAAACATGGATATGAACAAAAGGAAGGTGTTAGTACGAAGCATAGAGCATAGTTACTGCACTTAGATCCCGTCTGGAGTGCGAACCCGTCTCTGTGCTTTATGCTTTTGAAAGTTATTCGCTTTGTGACGTTATGACCTATGATATTGAAAAAAAAACCAAAGCGCAGCATAGTACCTCCTTTTTTCGGCTATTCCGCAGATGCTGTTAAAGAAGAAGTTGAGCAGCTTTCTAATCAGCTAACAGGACGTATGCCAGAGGAGGTGAAGCCAGAGTTCGACAAGGCCCAAAAAAAGTATGCACTATTTCCTTCCCGTGTTGCGAAAGCATATGCGATCTGGCTCTTTTCCCATTACTTACCGCAAAAATCTGATGGACCTACTAGCAAAGCTAATTTCCATTCCGACTAGCACGGCAGAGGTGGAGAAAGAAATTTTCTATCTACTCTGTTATCAGAACACAACGCAGAAGTAGTACAACGATAGAGCATCTAAGCAAATACTTGAGATTTGTCAACCTTCTACTAAACACATTGTTATCTAAAAACTTCATTTAAAGGATTGGTATAAGTGGTCCAGAACAGGCTGTTACCGTATGACTTTCTGAAATATTCTAAAAGATGGTATGGAGAAACTGGTCACCTACGAGGGCCAGGAAAAAAATCACAAAAGCGCTTAGAAGAAGAAGAAAGTTTCAAATCCATTTTCGACTCAGAACGCTTTTGCACGCAATTCTACTTCTACTTCGATGACCTTTCGGAGGAAGAAGAAGATTTTTCAGGCAGCGAACTTGTTGTCTCTGACGTTAGCGATAGTGATATTGTTGATGATGATGTGCAGGAAATGAAGTTGTTCCTAACTTGTACATCTTTTGGGATAAACCTTATTGCTTTCGTTTTTTGTTGATGCAGTGAAACAGGAGCACAGATTTTCATAATCAATTTTTTCAAAATTTTTCAATTTCTTTTGAAAATTTTTAAATTTTTTTTCAATTTGTACCTAAATAAGGTACAAATTAGAGCTCTTCATACCACGCTTACCACGCTTTTTTACCTTTTCTTTCTTCCCCCCCCCCCTCCCTAGACTCACATACCCCCTCCACCCTGGAAGGTCGGGAACAGCCGAGACCCCCTTCACCTGGGGAGAGCCCGGCTCCCCCTATCGCACCTATGCGTTTGACGCTCACTTTCTGAAGGTTCCGCTCATCGAATCGGTTTGTGTTATTGTACAGTGCACCCACATGCACCCACTAATAGGGTGCCGTGATCAAAATTCTAGCTCAGAATCTTTTCTGAAACTCGCTCCATGAATTTTGTGACAGATGTGTGTGTGTGTGTGTGTGTGTGTGTGTGTGTGTGTGTGTGTGTGTGTGTGTGTGTGTGTGTGTGTGTGTGTGTGTGTGTGTGTGTGCGTGTGTGTGTCGAATAGAGAGAATCGAATATTTCTGCAATCCAGACTAAACTTGTACACAGACACTGCCGCAGGCAAATTGTTGTCAATGATTGAACTCTTAATTTTTTGAAACTCTGGACGGAATTTGGCACGAGTAGCGGGTAACTAGGCTGCGAAATTATCGATTACCTTTATCGACTTCACCCTTATTTGCAGCTTTAAGCTGCGGGGCTGGGAATTGGTACCAACGTTGGGGGGAATAGAGTAAATGCTGATTATGACAGCGCTGACCTTTACAACTCTACTCAAGTGTCACCAGCTAACATTATTTTCATTTTTAGACTGCTCATCTCGTCGTGGTCTAAGAAACAACAA